AGGGCACGCAGGTGACCCTACCTTCTGCCCTGGCAAGTGCCTTCAATTTCATCTCGGTCTAGTCCTAGTGCTCTGAGAGGTACCCCGAGCCCAGAACCTGCACGGCCTCCTATTTCAGGGCTCACCTTCTCTGACACCCTGTGTCCAGCTGGGTGCTGAGGCTCCTTTAAGACATCGGCACACTTGTGAGTGTAACCCTTGAACACAGTTAGGAAAACCTGGGATTACTGAAAAGAATAAAATCCTGGATTTCTCAGCTCTGCTTGTGGGGTTGGAGTTTAGGAGGGAAAACCCAAGCCAAGTCCTCCCCTCCCACCCTTTCAGTTCTATTTCAAGAGGGAGGACCTCACCTGTTTCCAGATCTCTGACACCAGAAAAGATGGACCCTGCCCCCTACTAGTAAGGGGTCCTCAGGGGACACCCCAAACTAACAGCCTTACTGTATGGAAAGCCTGGTCTTCATACGACGAGAGGCCACTTGGCCCCAGGCACCTTACTCCTGTGAGCACACAGGCTGCTGTCTCCAGACACACTCTGCATACAGATAAGTCAGGACGGGATGTGGAACTCCCAAGTGAGGGCGGGTCGGAGCTGGGGGGTTGCTGGTGGAAACACTAGCTCGTTGTTTGGACCTGTCTTTTTTGCAGGGGGCTCCCGGGGAGAATCGGGCATTGGATTGCGTAAGAGATGCACAGCTGCTGTTGCTATGGCCACCATTCATAGAGCACTAAGGCCACACAGCTATTCAGTGACAAAACTAGAATTCAAAACTTGTGCCCTCCTGACCTCTAGGGTTCATGCTTTGGAGTCCCAAGGTTTGGGAATGATCACAATTCTTAAAGAGCTCTGGTAGGGGATGCTGGGAACGTGCATCCACAGCGAACTGGCCGCAGCCTGTTAGAACAAAGGCTCTGAACTCTCTCAAGGGGAGGTCACGCTGGGCTCACCTACCTGGCCTTGTAGGCAGTAAAGGAAACCAATAGCTTTAGTGTTTTCAATTTTTCAAAAGTCTTTGGCAAAGTTCCATGCCAAAAAAATTTCCATAGCTAGACCAAAAAAAAATTAATTGCTTCACCATGGCTTTGCAGGGAGTGCTTTGTCATGCACAGGAGCCAGCTCAGGGGAGGAAACGGATCCCTAAGGATGAATGTGCGCTTCTCTTGATGGAGAGTCTTAAGCAGCAGGGTCTCACGGGGATTGGTGCGGGAAGGCTTAGCTCTTATCTTTTTTAATTAGAGATTCGGAAGAGGAAGCAGGTAGTGAGAAGTCTATGTCGACAGGAGGCTTGGGAAATGAGAAGCCTAATGAATGGAAAGTGTGTGTTTTTTGCTCTGGCCCCCCAGTCGTTGCTAATGATCAGCATTCTGTTAGCCTGTTCGCCACAACAATGTACAAGGGGTTTTACCCTTTCAACACGTCTCTGCCCCTCTGTGCCAGGCGCTGTGCTGGGCTCAGGCACGTATCACATATGTTGTTATTCTACTCCACAAAATGGGATTTCACGGTTCCCCCACTTGCTTTTACTCACTGATGCAAACATCACAATGCAAAGAGCTCCCTCCTTTTTCGTGTGTGTCTGGTGCCATTTTCCCATGAAATGACCACACAGCAGTTCAACCAGCCCCCTCTTGTTGGGCATTTTCACTACATCTGGACTAGAAATACTCTCACGGTGTAGCCTTAAGCATCCCTGGACTCAGGTGTTTGTACATGTGGACAGTGTCCGAGGGTGGTCACCTGGAAGAGAATGACTGGGTCTCAGGAGACAAGCATTTAGATGTGTGGCAGGTGTTGATGAGTTGCCTGCAAAAACACACCCAGCTGAAGTTTAATGGCCCCCAAAGAGTCTGGCTCGGCCCATTTCCTCAAATCCCAGCCAGTGCCGGCTATCACAACGGTTTCCTATTGCTCCTGCACCGCTTACCCTAGGCCAGTGGTCGGCAAACTCATTAGTCCACAGAGCCAAATGTCAACAGTACAACGAAATATTTATATCTCCTTTGAAAGCCACATTTTTTAAACGTAAACTTCTTCTAAGCCACTTCTTTTTTTTTTTTTTTAATTTATTTTATTGATTTTGTACAGAGAGGAAGAGAGAGGGGTAGAGAGCTAGAAACATCGATGAGAGAGAGTCATCGATCAGCTACCTCTTACACACCCCTACTGGGGATATGCCCGCAACCAAGGTACATGCTCTTGACCGGAATCTAACCCGAGACCTTTCAGTCCCCAAGCCGACGACGCTCTATCCATTGAGCCAAACCGGTTTCGGCTAAGCCACTTCTTCAAAATAGATTCGCCTAGGCCGTGGTATTTTGTGGAAGAGCCACACTCAAGGGGCCAAAGAGCCGCATGTGGCTCGCGAGCCGCAGTTTGCCAACCACGGCCCTACGTTCACAACAGGAATTTGTTATCTTACGGTTCTGTAGGTCAGAGGTCCGGCAGGAGTCCCGCTGGCCTGAGCTCCGTGTCGGCAGGGGAGTCTGTTCCCTGGCCTGTGTTCTTGTCCTTCTACGCCAGCGGCGTCAGGTGGCTGGTGGAGTGCTCCCCCTTCCGTGGCATCACCCGGCCTGTTCCGCCCCTTTCCTGTCTTCACGGCCCCTTAGCTTACACTGGGCTCACCTGGGCAATCCAGGCGCCTCTCCTTATCATCAGGTCCGCTGATTAGCAACCTCCATCCCGCCTGTGACTTCAGTGCCCCCTGCCATGTGACGTGTCAGGTCCCAGGGAGTGGGGCGTGGGCCTCTGGGGAGGGTAGTCTTCCTCCCCCACAGAGAGCGTCAGCCTTTCCCCCTGTTCTCATTGTGGGTGGAAGCTCTTGGCGGTTGCCTTTCCTGATTGCTGGTGAGGTCAAACACCCTCCGTGTGGAGAGGCAAAGCGGCTTGGTTTTGTTCCTGGGAGTCGTCTGTTAGACCCTCTGTCTCCTTTTCTATCGGGTTGCCTTTTTAAAAAATGGAATTATATATTTTTTGATTCTCATATTGGCCCCGATGCGTCAGCTGTGGCTGGGGTCAGAGATGATGCTGATGCCTGTGCCCTTCCCCCACCCTTAGCTATGCTCCTTGGGAAGAAAGGTCAGGATGCTTCTGCTGAACTGGCCGGTTCAAGTCTGTCTAGGGAGCATGGTGGCTGAGACAAGGCTCGTCTGGAGGTTTACTTAGAGCCCAGCGGGCTTCTCAGGCATCTGGACTCCGGGGTCAGACAGACAGAGTGCCCAGCCCCAGCTCAGCTTCCCACATCGGCAGCTCTTCCACCTCCCCCGTCCCGCCCCCACCCTCATCCCCACTCTCACCCCCACCCCAGCCTGTTTTCTCATGGGAAAACAGTGATGGTGGCACGCTGACATGCTGGGGTTGCTGGCACGGGAACGGGGATGAGTCAGACACTGGGGAGACGCAGAGAACAGCGAAGTTTGGTCCTTTTGCAGAGGCAGGCAACGTCCTCTCCTCAGACATTTGAAAAAAAACTTGCAGTAAAGATTGAAATTGCTTTTCAATTATGCTGGGTGTCAACCCCTGACTCTTCTGGAATTCCTGGGGGGCCCAGGGCCCGGTGTCGGCGGTGAGTCGTACACCGCCTCCGAGGTGACTCGTACACCGCTTCCCCGTCGTCATGCTTTGGAGGGGCCGCGAGACTGCTAGTCCACTGGCTGGGCAAGCCTTGGGAGGTGAGCCGGACAGGACCCGCTCCCCGAGGTGTGCCAGACTGAGGCTCAGAACCAGGGCTGCTGTTGCAGAAGCTGAGCCTATAGCCACCTAGACCTAATCCCTGTCCCCCCTCAGGCCTGCAGTTGGGTACACCAGCCACTAAGCCACCCGGAGGGCCTCCCCGCTGACCCCGCAGCCTCCCCACAGGCGCCCGGAAAGCCCGTTGGCAGTCTCCTTGTCCACACCCAGAGCACTGCTGCCTTGTGCACCGGGCAGAGCGGGGCTGGGCTGGACCCCGGGGGCACCTGCTGTCAGCACGGAGCCTGCCCTGCTCAGAGTGGGTGGCAGGTCCCGCCCGCCCCTAAGAACCTGCAGAAGGTCTGCTGGGGCCCAGAATCCCTGCCTCAGGCGGGTCTTCCTCATCCACAGTCTCTGACGGCTGCATCTGGAGCCTGAGCCCTTCCCCCCAGGGCTGGCGGTGGAGAGTCCCCTGCTCTGACCTAACTGTACGGTCCCGGGCCCGTTGGCCTCTCTGACCTCCCGGTTCAGTGCAGAGTGTGGGAACAGCAATCCCCCCTGCTGCCCCCTGGGCGAGCCCCGCCTGTGCTGGCCGGGGTGACGGTCCCCCGTGGTGGTGGCTCTTGTCCTGGTCTCCCCACGCCTGCCCTTTCCTCTGCGGCTGCCAGGGCCCCGGCCTGCGCCGACATAGCCCAGTGTCCGTGACTGGCAGGACCACGGTGACCCTCCCGTGACCTCTCTCTCTGGAACTCGGTGCTGGACAGAGTCCCTTCCTTTCTTCTCTCCTCCATTTCTCGAGCCAAGTGGGGCTGGCAGCCATAAGGAAGCGTCTGGGTGGATGGGGCAGGGGTCGGGGTGGAGGGTGGGGTGGGAAACACAAGCCGTGCCCTCGCCCCCTTTGGAAGCTGGCAGCTACCCTGGTGAGCCCCAGACCCAGGACCCTGATGTGGGCTCGCCGTGGCCACCCTTTTCCTTCTCAGTCAGCAAAGGCCCCGATGAACTCCAGCTCCTCCCGGGCCTGCAACTCATTAGCTCTTTTTATTAAATCCATCTGCTCAGAGCAGAAGCAGGGCCCCGGTCTCCAAGCTCCCCACCCTGGGTGTGAGCGGAGGCTGCACACAGAGAGGATTGTTGGACTGGGTGTGGCGTCCCAGAGGGCTGGAGCCTTCCGAGCTGTGCGGGTGAGGGCCCGCCAGCCTGAGGGGCCTGGAGCCTGTCTCTGCCCTGAGCCTGCAGAGCTGGGGGTGGGGGGTGAGTGGGGCTTTCTCTTCCTGGTGAGGTGGGCTTGCCGGCTGCCTTTCCTGATGAAGCTGTCCCCCTCTCCCCCCACACAGGAGTGCATCATTGACGAGGACTGCGGGTCCCGCAGGTACTGCCAGTTTGCCAGCTTCCAGTACACCTGCCAGCCGTGCCAGGACCACCAGGCAGTGAGTGTCCAGAGGCCTCCGGGCTGCAGCACCAGGGCGTGGGGGCCCAGAAAAGCCCTGGGGAGAAGCTCCCCGCCCCGCGTTCTCCTCTGGAGCTCCACCAGGTCCCCACCGGGAGGAGCCCCTCCGCAGCGCCCCGTGGGCTGACTCCTGGAGTGACCAGGAGGCCACCTGCCGACCCGCCACCTCCGGAACGGCAGGCAGCCCTCTGTTTTCCAGCTGCCATGGTGGGAGCGGGTTCCCTCGGCCTGTCCCGCTGGGTGCCGTCACTGGGCACAGCTGTGGGGACCAGCTCTGCTCTCCAAGTGCATTTCCCACATGGGATCCAGGCCCACAGCACCCACGTGCCTGACCACCCACCTGGCCCTCCCGGGCTTGGGCCTTAATCTAATCAGCTTCTAAGGCTCCTGGTGCTGCCTCATCTGTGGCCCTAAGCCACCTCCTTCCTGACCCAGGGACCTAACGACCGAATGAGCAGGAGGCAGGGCACAACCGCAAAGACATGTACACCCTTTAAAGGCAAAACCCCAAGCTGTGAGGGAGCACTCGGGTTCATGCCTCCCCTAGGGCTGTTTCCCAGTGTGCTGGCCCCTCACCTCTGCTCCCGTTACTTCCACAAACCCCTCCTCCCCGACCGAGGGCCTCAGTTTCCTCCTCTGTACAGTGGGCCATGTGGTAGTGTCCTAAGGCTTTCCCGCTGGGGGTTGGGGGTACAGGCGGGGCTCGCCGGGTCTGTGAGCCGGGCTGTTGTGCTTCCCACCTCCTGCAGGTCTGCACCCGGGACAGTGAGTGCTGTGGAGACCAGCTGTGTGCCTGGGGTCACTGCACCGAAACAGCCACCAAAGGCAGCAACGGGACCATCTGCGACAACCAGAGGGACTGCCAGCCCGGGCTGTGCTGTGCCTTCCAGAGAGGTGGGTGGCTCCCTTCTGTTTGCAGGCTGAGCCCTGTCCCCAGCCCCAGCGTCCCACCCCACCTCACTCACTCCCCAGCCTGAGGTAGCGCTGGCTCCAGGCCCGTTTCCTGTGAACCGAATGGCCCCTCTTCCACGGCCTCCATGCACTGCCCTCCCCGGTGAGCAGAGCTCAGGCACTCTCTCTCCTGCAAGTGTTTCTGAAAGCCTCGCCCTGGGCCATCCTCCCCATCCCCCGGTGCACCTGGTACCTGCTGCTCCTGCAGGTTTCCTCAGGAACAGCTTTCTGGATAATTCTCCTCTGGGAGTGGCAGCCACTCCAGTTCTGTTGCTTTAATTAGACTCCCCGGTCCATCTCCAAGCCTTGGCCAGCGCCAGCTGATCCATCCTCCTTTTCTCTCCACCACTCGGCCCGTTTGGGAGGCTCACGGCCCCAGCCTGAGCCCACCCCCAGGCTTTTATTGGTGCTGATCCCCGGTCTCGAACACCTGTCTCCCACTGTCAATTTCTCCTGACCTTTGGCCTCAAAACCCAGCACAAGCCCACCTCTTCCAGGCAGTCTTCCTTGACTGCTCCAGCTCATTCTCTCTTGAGCCCCTTCTGCCATTCTCATTGCTTCTCACTCCACTTCTTCAAGCCTAACCTCCGCCTGGAGGCTGAGGCTGGCACGTGGGAGGTTGCTTTCCGTTTCTCCCTCCCCTGGTGCCTGCCGTGGTGCTGGGGCGCAGGGGTGACTGTTGGCTGGTTCCAGGCCTGCTGTTCCCCGTGTGCACACCCCTGCCCGTGGAGGGTGAGCTCTGCCACGACCCTGCCAGCCGGCTCCTGGACCTCATCACCTGGGAGCTGGAGCCTGACGGAGCTTTGGACCGCTGCCCGTGTGCCAGTGGCCTCCTCTGCCAGCCTCACAGGTGAGGCCCCATCTGTCCTTGTCAGGGGCCAAGGGGGGATGAGGTGCCACCCCCTGGGGACTCGGGAGCCAGGGAAACGTGGGCTCCGTTGAGGATCGGTTTGATGGGAAGTGTCCTTGATCTTCCTGGTGGAGGGGCTCAGTCGTGGTCAGACCTGTAGGACTGGGGCTGAGAAGAAGGTGTGTGTGGGGGTGGGGTGGGGGGGGTACAGCGTTGGGGCACCTCTAGGTGGTGGTTGAAGCCTCGGGAGTGAGTGGTCTGGGAAGCGGGTGTGGAGGGAGGAGCGCTGAGGGCTGAGGGGAGCCCGGGCCCATTAGACAAAGGACCAGCTGAGAAGGCGCCTGCAGAGAATTAGGAGGGAAACCGGGAGGGCCTGCCCCGCCCCGAGGCAGAGGATACCAAAGGGGGCTGGAGGCTCTGAGAGACCACCATGGCTGTTTCTCAGTGTGCTTTTCCCAGGCCTCTGGGCGTCTGTTACCCAGCCCTCTCTCCCAGCAGAGTCCTGGGTGGCTGGGCAGACAGAAGGCCCCTCCCTGCCCCACAGGCCCAAGGCTCCCCCAGGCCCAGCAGGGGAGGCAGTTAGGCCCTATCCCACTGTCAGGGGCTGCGCCTGCCTGGAGGCACCGATGGGCCGGGAGCTGTAAACTCTCAGACTCCCCTGTCCTCAGGGCCTGCCCCTGGGTTGCTGAGCCTGCAGTCACAGGAAGCCAGGCCTGCCCCTGAAGGGGTGTGTGTGGGGGGGGGGGGGGGAGCTGCCCCTTGAGTACATTCTTCGAAAATGGGCGCCCTCAGCAAACTTTTCTAACGTAAGATGCTGGCAGGGGGGATGTTAGAGGAGGGTCCTGTAGGTGATGAGGCCGGAGGTATAAGGAAAGCCTTTGTCTCGGCCCAGGCTCCCCAAGTTGAGAGCTGGCTTTGCCCTCTGGGGAGACACGGCCGTTGGCTGAGCCTCAGCCCCTCTCCCCGCAGCCACAGCCTGGTCTATGTGTGCAAGCCGACCTTCGTGGGGAGCCATGAGGAGGTCGGGAAGAGCCTGGTGCCCCGAGAGGCCCCCGGCGACTACGGAGACGGCAGCTTCATCGAGGAGGTGCGCCGGGAGCTGGAGGACCTGGAGCGGAGCCTGTCGGTGGAGATGGCTCTCGGGGAGCCGGATGCCGCCACCGAGCTGCTGGAGGGAGACGAGATCTAGAGCCGGGCTTGTCCTCCGGTAGAGTGCAATAGAAGTAGCTAATTTATTTCCCCAGCTGTGTCCTCTAGGTGTTGGCTCACCAGGCTTTTTTCCATGGCCTCTTCCCAGAACATTCTCCCTCTGGCTCGAAACAGAATGAGGGGCCGCATACTCGTCCCGCTCCCCGCGCTGTACCCCAGGCATCTCAGTTCTGCTGCCTGGGTGCGGGGGAAGGCGGGACAAGGCTGCTAAACAGGTCCAGGTGCTGGCTGCTTTGCTTCTGCTGGTTGGCAGATGGCACGTTTCATTTTGTTCTGTGCCCCCTTCCCCCAGCCAAGGAGGGGACCGAAAAGGGGGCAGAATTTCCTCATGACGGGTTGTACGGAAATGTTGATGCTTACACACGTGGAGAAGAGTGCCCTGTTTAGCAACCATAAACCTGGCAAAAATCTAACAAATGAAACCCTCACGCAGTTCTTCGCACGGCACAGGCTTGCTGTGCCTTCGGGAGAAACATCCTGTGGCCTCCGAGTTGCATGCATTCAGCTTTTTAGCAGCCACTCAGTTCCTACCTCTGTGCCAGGCAAGCAGTTTCCCCTCCACGATCCAGACCTGTCACCACAGCCCGGTGAAGGGGCATTGATTCCCCAAATGTCAGCATCTCAGAGGCTCATACAGGTCAGGCTAGTGACGAGCATAGCAGGATTTCACCCAATGTGACCCCGAGCCTAGTGCTCCCCTACTGCTCCCCACCAGCCCCTGTGCCACCAAAAATACCCCCCACTAAGACGAAAAATGAAATTTTTCTTTTTCTGAGGCACATCTGGAATGGAGGTGAAACTAGTACCCACATGTCTCCAGGAGTCAACTTCTCCTCTTGGAAATAGCGTTCTCCCCAGTGTGGGACGGGTCATCCTTCTGGTGGTGACAGGAGGAACTGACACTGTCCCCTGGGGCGGTTAGTTACATTAGTCACTCTGAGGGGACAGGATCAGAGCATAATATTTACGTTAACTTGCCAGAAACAGCACTTGGGTAATTGTGGGGCCAGGATTGTAAATGAAATTTGCAAAATCACTTACCAGCAACTGCAGGCCATTATCAGCCACATGGAGAAAATCAAACCAAGCAAGGCTCTGTGAAATACGGCTGCAATACCCAGACTGAGCTCTGAACTGTGTGCTGTTCCACAAACGATCTTTTCAGGTGTCATGGACTGTTTCCATCATGTATTCACCCAGAGTTATTAAATTTTAAAAGTTGCACATGATTGTATACGCATGCTTTCTTTGAGTTTTAAGTGATGTATACACACATATGTTGCATTTAGAAATCAAGCATAAATCACTTAAACTCTTCTTTCGTAGTTCTTGGACTTTTTTCCTTTTGACTTTGGATAAATATGAAAAACCCTTCCAGCCAGAAAAAAAAAAAAATGACCTGCCTCTCTCCCATGTAAGTACACTTTCCAGACAACTGAAGCACACTTCTTTCAGCACCAAAATGTGTTAGAAATGCTAACCATTCGGGGATGGGAATTCGTCTTGAGTATCAGTGTTTCGCTGTCTTCTGGAAGAGTCAGTGGAGTGTGTATGTCCCTTTCCTTCATCAAGCATCTCTGGGCCATCACACTGTAGGTCCTCAGGGCCTGTGATAATAAAGCTACTGGGTATTGAGGTCATCTGGCGGCAGGCTGCCTATATTACCTCAATTAATCTTCATTGAATTCATGAGTATTTTCTCCATTTAACAGATGAAGAAATGGAGGCTCTGAAAGGTTAAGTGTTGGAGCTGGAAGTCAAAAACAAAACAATATGAAGGATAGGATACTCAGGGTCAAGTGATAACTTTAAGATCAAATATAGAGCTCGTCTCTGTTTAATGTTAAAATCATCATTGTACATTCTTATTATTCCACATACTTATAGATTGCCTGCTCAGAACCAGGTGCTGATATACTCTGGGGGTGCAGGTTGATCCTGATAGGGTCCCTACCCTGAAGGATACCCTAAACCCAGCACGGATAACACATAAGCAGTCAAACCGATATCGTAACAGAATGTTACGGTGCCTCAAAGGATGTGGCTTGGGAAACCTAGCATGGGAACTGGCTCTCAAAGATGATAGGAGCTGATCAGGAAGCCAGAAGGAATGGGAAAAGGCATCTGGGCCTTGGGCAAGAGGGAGGGAGGCAAGGAGGAGGATAGTATGTAGGGAAATAGCAAGTAATTCACAATGGTTGGAAGACAAGGTACATTTGAGCAAATGTTTGGAGAAGAGGCTGAAAATTACTTCAATCAAATTTATTGAGCACCTACTATATGTCAGGCTCTATATTAAGTGCCAGGGAGACAATCAGATAAAACTAGTTTCCTTTCTCATGGAGCTTATATGCAGGTATATTATTTTTCTCTACTTTGTTATCAATAGCCAGGAAAATATACGCAGAGAGGCTTTGCAAAATACTTGGCTGAAATCCACATAAAGAGTAGCTGATGTATCTTCCTTACAATTCTAAATGGAATGTGGTAAGGGTTTGGTGAAGTTTGGTACATGAATCTTAGGGCCAGAGTTCCTGCCAAGGTTCCGTCTCCAACCTGACCTTCCTCGCAGATGAGGATGGCTGGCCTATTCACCCTCAAGACCGTAGAATGAACAGGAAGTGTGATGGGACAAAAACAATGGCTGCAGATTCTTCCTGTTTAGTTCCTTCTTCTCTTTCCCCCTCCTGACTGGCTTTCCCTGCCTGACGAGCCTGATTCTTTAGGTTTTGGCACAGGAGAAAGGGATACTGGGCAGAAGGATGAGAGTTAGAGAGAGAAGCAAGGGGCCTGGCCTACGTGGCTCAGTGGTTGAGCGTCGGCCTATGAACCAGGTCGTGATTAGATTCCTGGTCAGGACACATGCCCGGTGTGGGCTTGATCCCCATGTGGGGCATGCAGGAGGCAGCTGATCAATGATTCTCTCTCATCATTGATATTTCTCTCTCTCCTCTCTGAAATCAATAAAAAGGTATTTTTAAAAAAGAGAATCCTGCGGTGTGGGGTGGGATCAGAAAAGGGGCATTAAGTATTCCTGCGGTCTGTGTATCCCCTTCAGACAGCCAAGAAATGCAACTTGATTATTCTGAGATGACTGATTGCTAGGCTGGGTTTCTACGTTCAGAGGCCAACAGCTGTGGGGCAGCTCCCTCCGGGCAGGGCTTGCTGGGGTGCCGTTTCAGCAGCAGCACATCTGTTCTGTGGAAAGCCCAGAAAAGGGGTAAGACATACCCGTTGAGGAAGTTAGTGTTCAGAAAACAGGCCATTTCCCTCCGAACTCCCATGAATTGGGGTGGGTGGGGGGGGATGAGACTTCTTTCTTTAGCTAAACTCAAGAGCAGCACACAATTTGTACGAAGCTACTGAGGCATTATGGGGGTGAGTCTGCGCAGAAGCCGCAGGTCCCGCTGACTTGGCACTGGACCAGAGAAGGAGCTCCAGGGAGGAGAGGAGCATGTTATAGCAGCTACGCAGTGTGGAACAGAGGCAAAAAGGAGACTCTAACAGCACTCGCCCCTCGAGAGGGGGATGGAAGGTGGAATAAGGGTGAAAGGCTCAGTGGGGACCAGGGCAGCATGGGACAAATGGTACACATTGCACAGGAAGGCCTCATGCCAGCAGGAGGTTGGCAAGTGTCAAGTTTCATAAACTCCAGTGCTGTTTGGAATTGAGTCCTTGTCTGGGAGGACCTGCTGGGCACCTGTTCACAGTGAATGAACAGACAGGACAAAAGGCGGCAGGAGCCCCACCATGACCAACAGGAGGCTGCAGTGAGGGGATGTCTTTATCCTCTTCCCCTCCTCCGGGCAGAGTTGGTGCAGGAGCATTGCCTGCCCCCCTTCCTCTCCAAGCCAGGCCCCCCAAGGACGGGCACTGTGCTTGGTGGCGGGGAAGCTTTAAATCGAATGACCAGTAAGATCAGATTGTTTTAATAATGCCGTGACTTAAAGTGACAGGACTGCACTGAGAGCGGGATGACAGCGACTTCAATGGGAAACTGCATTCTACAGAACACACAGGGCTGGCAGTTACCCCTGCATATTTGTATCTCAAGTTGATACTCCGTAATTAAATGGGTTCCTTAAGTATTATCAACGAGGCAGAAAACTATGAGACTGGACAGGGGAGGGGCAGGCTGGGAGCAGGGAACGCACCCGAGTGTCTTCCCCACCTCAGGCCGGGCCACAGGGCCCACTAGAAACTCCCTGGGGAGGGGGCCACTTCTCAGCCATGAGCAGTCGGAAGGCCAGCTTTTCTTGCAGGCAGGAGAGCCGAGCATTCTGCCTGTGTTGTCTGTCCTCCTTGCTTGCCCCTACTGACTGCTGCATTCTTTTCTAAATGCTTTAACACACTCTGGGTGTTGTCCAGTATTCTTGAGTGTTTCTCAAAGCCAAGTTTTGAAAATGAACACTGAACCTAACCCCATGACCACAGCACCCCGCTTCCCCAGGTGAACGACATGGAAGGGACATGATTTCATATACTCTTAAGTCTAGGTCAGTGGTCGGCAAACTGCAGCTCCTGAGCTGTGGTTTGCAGCTCTGTTGACTAATGAGTTTGCCGACCACTGGTCTAGGTGGTTAAAATTTATTTGGACAAAAGCTCCTTTGTTAATCTGGTTTAAACAAAACAACCCTACAAAACTTTATACATAGACACTATTTTGCATTTAAGAATTTATGGCCTTCTGATAGCTATTTGACTCAAGTATTAATTTGTTTTTCAAAAACTACACAGAATTGTTTAGATGGAGTTTTATTTACCGTGTTTTCCGGCATATAAGACGACCCCCTAATTTTACAGTTAAAACATAGGTTTAGGCCTATATTCGCTGTATAAGACTACCCCCCACTTCCGAGGCAACACCAGTTCTTTTTTTAATAGACCACCTCTCTAATTCAGCCAATCCAAGCAGGCTTTTTATGCATGCAAATTATACATGTTCTGTATCCAAAGCTACATTGTGTTCTAGTAAAAAGCCTGCTCAGATTGGCCAGAGTCAGAAAGGCGGTCTATTAAAAAAAGAACTGGTGTTGCCTCGGAAGTGGGGGGTAGTCTTATACAGCGAATATAGGCCTAAACCTATGTTTTAACTGTAAAATTAGGGGGTCGTCTTATACGCCAGAAAATACGGTAGCAAACAAAAAACTTGCTAATTCAGATTCTCCTCTATTCCATGTACTTTAGATTACAATTTGCAAGTCATAAGCACAAAAAAGCTGGGAAGGGTCTCGAAGCAGAACAAAGGGCAAAACTCAGAGGGAGAACTTCAGTAGCCAAATGAACCAGAATAAAAGACTTTATTGCATTCCATACATTCACAGGTCACTTCCAGACTTAGTGCACTCATTTAACGCAGGCCACATTGTAAGCCTGTAGCTCTCTCCTTCTCTCTTGGCCTAGAGATGTCACAAAGCCATTCCTAACAGTGCAGCCTGGCAACCAATAGCTACTGGACCGTTTTCTAGCTGTGGCACTGGTTCATCCTGCCCTCTCAGAATTTTAAAGTACTTTTCATCACAGTACAAAAGAGATCGCCAAATATTTTTGTAGATAGTCCTTCACTCACCATTTTTATTATTTTTCACTTCTATCGTTTCTGAAGTGGAGTTTTAACTAGGGAACTTCTATACAGAGCAGCAAACCATAGCATGGTCTTTAAACAGTAGCTTTTCCTCCTCGCCTTTAATACCTGCCTCAGAAATGTCCGTGCCTACAAACCCATCTGCCGCACAGTAAAAGCGCTTTGAAACCTCGCGTGGAAGCAGGGTCAGTTTACTGCCTGTGGCCTGTCTCAGCCTCAGGAGACTCAGCAGGCGAACCAGGCTCCAGGCCTGCCCGACGTGGGCAGTTGGTCCAGTTAATGCTCTGCCTCTTGGCCTCAGAGGTGCTCACTTGATCGTTTGAATCTGAGGAAAGGGGAGGGGTGGTGGAGATGGTACTGGTGGTGTTGGTGTGACACACATTTATCTCCCTTAACACAAATTACTGTTCTATCACAAGTTCATTTTGAAACGTTTACCACCCCTTTACTGAAATTACTAAGGGCAACATTGTGTTTTCACTCATTGGGTACTGAAAAATGAGAGCTTAAACTTTTTTTCTATAATGAAATTTTCTTTACTTTTGGTATTTGTGATATGCCTGCAACTAAAAGTAGCAAACACAAATAAAAAATCAGGGCAGAAGGCACAGAATGAGAAGAATTTTACCATTTACTCTTATAGGAACAATAACAAAACCAAATCAAACAAGATCACAGCTAGTTTTGTTTACAAATCAGCCTTCTTTGCTCCAGTCAGTCCCTGAAATCAGGA